AGCGAGGGATGGGGGCGGCATCCGTGGCGGCCTGCTGTAACCGCTCGAGCGACCTCCGCCGCCCCGTCAGCGTGGTAGTGCAGGTGCGCCATAAAGTGGCGAGGCAAAAGGCAACGATCGAGCCTGGGCCGCCGCCATGACACCAGAGCTTGAACGAGAGAATGTCTGCCCTCTTCAAAGAGTTGGGCGGGGGGCGGTGCAGCTTATGCAAGCCGTGAATTTCTCGCTTAAGCAAACGAGCGATGGGATGGAAAAGTTGCGCGACATAGCTCAGCGTGGGAAGGGTGGCAGATGAGTAGAGAAGCGTGAGGGCGGAAGGGGGAGCACGAGTGATGCTAGCGAGATGATGCGCGACCACCACTTCTCCGAAGGGCCTTTCCACTGGAGATCGGCTGTTGCTCCTGGCCCGATCCAAACTCCGAGGTACTTCGCAACGTCAGAAACCTGAAACGAGCGCCAACTCGGACAAGCGGCCCCAAGGTCGCCCAAAGTCTGGCTGCGGACCTCTGGAGTGATGGGCGACCACAGGGGGACCGCTACACAATCAGCCGGCTGGAGAGACAGTCCCGCGAGGCGCTCGGCGAAGCAACAAGTTTCAGCGATCAGCACAAGCTGAGTGATACAAAGCAAAATCAGTCCCACATCATCGGCACACGCTCGCGCGACGCCGTGATCGATCGACGGAAAAGGTCTGTGAAGATGGCGCAACAGAGAGTCCATCGCTAAGGCCCAGAGGCTGCCTGAGAGTGGACGCCCCTGGAGGACGCCGCTAGCAAGCTCGCGCATCGGCGTGCGGGGCATGTCGCCGAACCTCGCGAACGCTACCGGGGCCGTATACAAGGCGCCGATGGCCCAACACACTCCGAGCGGAACGCCATAATGCACGAGCACCAGCTCGAGCCATCGTCTGGAGAGACTGGGAAACGCTGCCTTGAAATCGAAGGAAAGCAAAGTGGCCGCCTGTGGGGGCCATCCGCTAGCCAGCCAGCTCTCCTAGCCTCCGCGTCCAGCAAGGGTATGTTGCCCACAAAGTTCCGACCAGTGATAGACCCTTGCTGGCTCGTGTGGACTCTCTCTGAGACCAAGGGCTTCAATGTGAAGTTGATGGCAGAACCTATGGCCTTCACATCGCTATTCTTAAGACTGAGGGGCCGGGGATCCCGGCACCTGCGAATTAAACGAACTGCGTCGGACTGCTCTTCTCCCTTCGGGAGAAACGCAAACAGCGAGTGGTTGGCCTCAAACGGGAGAAAACCTCCCGAGTAAGTATGCCCAAGGGCGCGATGCAAGATGGCGGCGGCTAGCGGGTGCGAGAGCCAGGCAGAGTGAGGAAGACGATCAGGGCCAGGAGCGCTAGGCTTCGCTATTTTGAGAGCGTGGACAAGCGCTGCTTCACTGGGCATGGGGGCGTCGAAGGTGGGAGCAGGAGGGAGGGCAGAGGAGAGAAACTCGCGGATGGCAGGGTCAGAAGACGGACGAGCAGAAAAGACAGGAAGCCAGTGGGATTGCACGGCTTTGAAGATGTCCTTATCGCTAGCGCACGCGGTCTCTGTCGGCCCCCGGGAGCCGGCATCGGCGTGAACATGCACCCGAACCCCCTCGAGACGAAGTTGCCTGGGCCAGGGGGTCCACAGGCGCGCGCGCCGTGCTGCTTTGCGCTCGATCTTGCGCTGCAGCATTACATCTTTATGGCGTCCGAATTCGTCGAATTGAGAGACTCGCATGCTAGCCTGCAGAACCCGAAACTGGTGCCGCTCATCATTCGCGACCGCACACTGCGCATGAAACGAAGGAGGATCACGGAGAGAAGCGACACTGCCGACGACGACGAGGTGAGAGGAGGCGAGGGGAGAGGAAGCAATGAGACGTGCCGCAGCGTGCGCGTCGTTGCGCCAGAGTGCACGAGTCATGGACCTGAACAGGTACATTCGCGTGATGGGTGCATCAGGGTGCGCCGAATGGATGTATTCGGGGCCTTGCAGCAGGTCCCTGGTGAGAGCGGCAGCTTCACGCATGACAGCTTTAATTCCCTGCCAGGCGGTGACCGCAGACAACTGGTCAAAGTCGGCATGAGCAAGCATGGAAGCGAAATGCTGGCGAAACTCATCCGTTTTGAACAGATGCGGCGGGGTCGCTCGCTCTTGCTGCGCACGCGGAGCAGAGGGGCGGATCTTGAGCAGCAGCATGGCGTGATCCGATAAGCCTCTGTCCGACAAGCGCGTGCTCTCGTGTGCAATCTGGAGCGTGACATCTAGAAGCACGAGCTGCGGGGCGGAGCCTGAGAGGAAAAAACGGTCAATGCACGAGACCTGGAGGCGATGGGAGTCGAAACGAGTAGGAAGATCGTTTGTGAGCTCAGTCATGGTACTGAACATGCGCTTCCAGCGAGCCTGCGTGCGCTGGCCGCGGTTGTCTATGACTGGCAGGGTAGTGGGGGGAGCGGGGCGAGAAGGAGACTGAACGGGGGAACGAAAGGAGCGAGGAGGGGATTCTGAGATGTTAAAATCACCGATGGCGAAAAACTTGAAGTGCGCTCGTGCTGCTGTGCGCGCGCTGTCTGCTGAGCCCAAAAGCTCTCGATATCGCTAACCTCCAGAGCGGACAAATCGTGATTATGCACGTTGAGCACGCACATGCTATGATCGCGTGCAGGAGAAGAGATAAAGAGGGCGGCGGCACGGCCAGTGACAATCGGGTGCACAACGCACGCCGGCTTAAGGGCGTCAGGAACAGGCCGAAGTTCAGAATGACCAGGTACAAGGAAAGCGACTCCGCCAGCAGAGGCATCGGAGACGGACAAATAGCACGTGTAAGAGTACGGCGTGCCGTCGATGAGGCGCTGCAGGCGGCGCTCGTCGCCGCGTACCTCTTGGAGGACGATGAGAAAGCGTTGCCGAATGCATTCAGAAAAAAGTTTTATTTTAGACTCACGTTTGCGAGTGTTGAGACAGAGCAAGCTCCGCGCGTTCCAGCAGATGACGCGAAGCCCCTGCCCAGCATCTCGTTGGTAAGGTTCCCACGGCGCCCAGCTCCTGTTACCCAGACCACTGGGCGTCAGCCGTCGAGAAGGCGGTGCGGAAAGCAGCCTCGACTGCATCGCGATCGAGGTTGAGCTCGGCGATTGCGTTCTCGTTCCGCTGGATGCGGGTAGGCTCGTCCTGGCCACGAGGCTCAAGCTTGCAGCAGGGGGCGCTGTTGCCAAGGATCTGGAATTTGGCGCGCCGGCAGCGCCAGGTCGTGTCAGGGTACATATTCCCAAGGATGTGGCACATTTTCTTGGTCTGCACCTCCCCTCGAACCATTCTGGGGTTCTTATCGGTGGAGACATACATCGGGACGACCGCGTTCTCTGTGGACTGAACCTGGAATGACCGCCACCCTGTTGATGTTCTGAGGCAGCGGACCAGGGCAGTAGCACGGGCACTGGCCTCGACCTGATTGCCAAGAACGCGCACGTTGAACCTGCGGGCCACGACGTCTCCAACAAGCTCGATGTGTTCTGCCTGCAGCTTAGCGTCGGTAACCCAAGAAGTAAGGCCAGCACGCACAGCTTGAGGAGCCGCAGGCGACGGAATACCCACCGAGAAGATGAGCGGGTCAAGAGGTCGGTCCCAGTTGGCCAGATTCTCCACGTCGAAAAGGATCTGCGCCTCAGCCATGGCCAGCTGTTCGCGGTTGGCGTCAAGGTCGCTGCGCATGGTGGCTTGCGCGGCGGAGGTTGCGTCTTGTCGCTGGCGCAGTTCATGTATGTCCCGTGCATTGGCATCCAGGCGTCTGTGTGTGCGGGCTTGCTCCTGCAGGAAGGAAGCCTGCAGTCGCCCAGCAATCGCCTCCAGCTGCTCAGATGCTGCGGAGGCTGCTGCCGAACTCGCTGCGTTACGGATGGCGTCGGTGTCGACGTGAAGAGCGGCACGAAGCCGCTGTTCCATCTGCTGCATGTCCGTGTTACCACGCCACGGGTCTTGTGCGAACGCAGAGTCTTCACCGCCAGGAGTGGGCATGCCAGCAACAGGAGTTGAGGACGCGGGCCCAGGGGAAGCACCATCGCCAGCAGGCAAAGGAGGAGCAGCAGCAGGCTCTTCGAACGATGCTCGACCCCCTCCTGTAGGGCCACGTGCGTGACCAGTAGCGCCAGCACGACCAGAACGACGATCGCGGCGCTCGGCACGGTCTCGAGCCCGATCGCGGTCATCACGAGGGGCACGCCCACCACGGTGAGGTTCAGATCCTCGGTCGTAGTCCTGCCGGCGGCGACGCCTGTCAGGAGTAGGAGCAGCAGTAGGGGAGCTACGGCTGCGGTCAGTACGGTGCTCCGTGTCACTCGAATTTGACCTGCCCGACATGGAATGTATGGAGTATATGGAACGGATGTCGTGGTCTCAGTGGCCACAAGGTGTAAGGCACGGGCCTTCGTGACTACGGATGGACCCAAAGCTAATCGCTGATTCTCGTGCGTCTGTAGCCCTTCACAACGTTTAGCCTTGAGCCAAAATGGCTACGGAGGAGGAGGAGGAGGAGGAGGAGGAGGAGGAGGAGGAAGCCTAGCCTGCTGGCGGAGCCGCCCTCGTCTTGCTTCCGCCGGTCCTCCGGCCAAGGAAGAGCGGGCGCCTGAGTCCTCGAGCGCCGTGCCCAGCAGGCCCGAGCCGGATCGAGCCGCGACGCCGGTGCGGGCGGGAAACGGATCGCACCGCCTGCGGATCGCCCTGCAGCGAATCGAGATCGGCGCGCCGCGCCTGCCTCCGCCTGGCCCCAGCAGCTGCCCAGCGAACTGGGCCGAACCGCATCGGATCGGAACCGCGATGCGATGCGATGCGACCACCGTTGCGGACAGCGTCCGGGCCTAGAGCAGACCAGGTGGGTGAGGCCATGGCCTCTAGGATCTGAGGTCTGAGACCGGGCCGAACCGCATCGGATCGGAACCGCGGCCCCAGCCGGCGGGTCGAGCCGCAGCGGATCGCATCGCAGGCGGCCCTGCCCCGGGGGCGCGCGTGCCCGGCCGCCTGCCGCGGCCGCCGCCAGCGCCGAGGTCGCCACGGCGGTCGAGCGCCCGCTGGTCGCGGCCGCGGCGGGCATCAGCAGCCGCTCCGCCGCGGCGGCCTCGGGGGCAGCAGGCGGCGGAGCGCGGGGGGGGGGCGAGGCGGTGGTGACGAGCGATCGAGCGAGGGAGCGCGCGCGCTCAGGCTGGGTCGGCGGCGATGGCAGCGGTGCTGGTGGCGGCGCTGGTGGCGGTGGTGTGCGGTGGTGGCGGCGACGGCGGCGGCGGTCATGGTGACGGCAGCGGTGGTGACGGCGAGGAGGATGGCGGCACGAGGATGACGGCGATGACGACGACAGAGGTGATGGCGACGGGGGTGATGGTGATGACGACGGTGCTGATGCATTTTTGGTACATCTGAACGGCGTGAACCAAGAGACCATGCACACACATCGGCCTTCAAGTGGCACCGTCAGGGCATGTTAGGGCCTACCCGCAGAAGTGATGTGGGGCTCAAACAGTGTGGCGTTGAAAGCCTGGTAGTCGGCTCGCATGCACGCCCCCCCCTCCCCTCGCAGCACGGAGCCCCTGTCAGTCGTCGTAGCTCACTGTTTGTCGCCGTCTCTCGTGGCTTCTCTGATGGCCCCTCCTCTGGTAGCCCTCGTTCGTGGTCGTCGTCGCCACTCGCCGTCGTCGTTTCTCGTCGTCGCTCGTCCCGTGTCGTTGACCCCCTCGTCTTTGTTACTCGTCTTTGTCGTCTTCATTGTGTAGTCGCTTGTCACCTGTCGTCGTCGTCCCTCGTTGTCCGTGCCGAAGTCGATCGTCGTCACTCGTCGTCATCGTTGTCGCTCGCTGTCCTCCAAAGCTCGCCGTCGCCATCGTTCGTCGCCATCGTCGTCACTGGTCGTCGTCTATCGCCGTTGTCGTCTCCCTCGTCTTCATTGTCTCCTTGTCATCAATCCTCGTCGTCATCCATCTTCGTCGTCGCTCGTCGTTGCCGTCGTGACTCGTCGTCAATCCTCATCGTCGTCGTCGTTGGTGCTCATCATCGTCCCTTGTCGTCGTTGTTGGCGTCGTTGCCGTCGTCCGTCCCCTCTCGTCGTCGTCGTCGCCTTTGTCGACGTCATCGTCGCTCGTCGTCCCGCCCGCCAAGGTCAGCCCGCACGATCCGCCCGTCAGGTTCCGTCAGACCCGCCCTTCGAGGTCCACCCGCACGCCCCGCCTATTAGGGTCCGCCCTTCCAATTGCGTGAAAGCCCGCCCTCCCTCTGTAACGGCCATGCGTGAAAAAAAGCGCCCACCAGACGGAGAAGCCCACGCCTGTGCGTTGAGAACCTGAGCGCCCCCCCCGTTTCAAAGGTTGAGAGCGGGTGCGTCTGTGGGGTTGAGATATACAGCTAGCTATGCGCGTTTAGGATGACGGCACTTGCGCTGAAACAGCGGCCATGAAGGCAACATTCAATAGCGGCCTCCTAGATGGGGTGCCATCGGCGATACATCGCTGATGCATCGGCGATGTATCGACGACGTCGGCGATGCATCTGCACCATCGGCGTGGAGAAAATCGGGCTCCACATCGAGCCGCATCGGCGATGCATCGGCGATGCGGCGCGATCCTCCGACCCCATCTACTCGGACCCCATCTTGGGAAGATCAGTTACCGTGTTGGGAGAAGCCTGTCTTGGAGGATGAAGTGCATGAGCAATAGCATCCGGATGATACCTTCCGCCGCCGACGGGTACGGCTATCTTCATCGTTCCCAACCCCATCCTCCCAACCCGATCGCTGTCTTCCTGACATCTGGGAGGCCTAGATCTAAACCGGGGGGGTGGGGGCCCCATGGGGGCGTCAAGGCAAACCCGGTGGATCACCGTATCCCCCCGCGGCTGGTCGCCGCTGCCCACATTGAGGCGGATGCGTCTGTGGGATTGAGTCATGCGCGCTGACGAGGACGACGCTTGCGCTGCAACAGCGGCCGCGAAGGCAACATTGAAATCTGATCGGGGGCGCGCAAACATGCATTGGCGCTAAATGGATTTGGCGCGCGGTCGCCAAATCCATGGATCGGGGTGGGCGCCATCCCCCAAAATGCGGCCGGTGCCGCCTCGTTCGGCGGTGGAAACCAGCGATTCCCACGGAAACGGGACCCGTCGCTAGTCCACGCCCCCTTGATCCATGTTTGCGATCGCCTGAGGGAAGCCGGGGGCGTCGAAGCCACAGCGGTGGATCGCCGTCGTCGTCACTCGTCGTCGCTCGGCCCGTGTCGTTGACCCCCTCGTCTGCGCCACTCGTCTTTGTCGTCTTCATTGCGTCGTCGCTTGTCACCTGTCGTCGTCGTCGTCCCTCGTTGTCCGTGCCGAAGTCGATCGTCGTCACTCGTCGTCGTCGTTGTCGCATCCGAATGAAGCCACAGCGGTGGATCGCCGTATGCCCCCGCAGCCGGTCGCCGCCCGTGTGCGGAGGCGGGTCGCAGCGGGGAGGCCCCTCGGGGCCAGCCAGGCGAGCGCACTCGGGCCCCCCCCCAGGCGCGCACCGCCGTCAATAGCCTTGCGTTCCAGCGCTACGATTAAGTCGGGCATGTCCCCTTACAAGCACATTTTCGACGAAAGACAAAACATACGCAACAACATTCAAAAATAGTTAAAAATAGTCGGAAAAATCGTCCCAGACTATTTTCGGAGTGTTTCGGATATTTCCCCTGGAGAGGGACAGGCCAGACTTACGGTTGCGCGGTTGGAGGGCAGCTTCTTTTTTGTGCAACGAGGCTTCGTGTGGCACTTATCTGCCTCGGATGGTAGCCCGAGCAGTTACAAGGATGGTGCAGGAGAGCCACGTTTCGAAACGGGGACGTCGCCAGCGGGGCCCGCCCTCGAGGCGATGTGTCGAACTGCTCCCTCCTGCGACTCCCCGCGCCGCTGCTCTCCCTGTGATCCTCCCGGACGTGCTCGCGGCGTCGTGAGAAAACGCGACGGGAAACTTGGGTTAAGTCGGGCCTGTCTCCCTCCAGGGGGATTTTCGACGAAAACAAACACATATCCCAAACATACCCCCATGTGGTCAAAAAATCTGCAAACATATTCCCCAGACTATTTTTTGACTATTCTTGAATATGCCCCCTGTTGAGGGACAGGCCCGACATACAACTTGGGGCTGTCTTCGGCCTCCAGGGCCCCGCACCCGGCCCCCAGCACCGCCACGCAACGCCTCGGGAGGCAGAGAAGCGGCCCTGCGGAGAGGGCCGGGGCTCCCGGGGGCCGCGCCTGCGACCACAGGTCGGGCGTTGGCAGAGCTGGGTTCAGTGGGACCTGGCTTGGTGATCCGTACCGGGGACGCCCCCCCCCCGTCCCCTTCCACGAACCGGAACTGCCGCTACCCGAAAAAAACACCAGCTACGGCAGGCCTGGTTTATAGTGATTCCAATCCATATTTTGGGCTTCGGGGCCCCATCACTAACCGGCTCCCCTTGACCGGGGTCCTGGCTATATACCCGAACCAGGGCGGGGAAGCGAGGGGGGGCAGGCCTTCCGGGAAGGCGGCTGGGGCTTCTCGGAGGCCCTCGCGCCCTCTGGCAGGTCTGCGGCGTCGTCGTCGGGTGAAGCTCGGGCACCTTCTCAGAAGCGAAGGGGCCCTGGGACACACAAATCAATAGACACACACAAAAGGAGCCACTCATATTTTCCCATACTTCCTGGGCTTCGTCGTCCCCCCACTTCCAATACTGCCCCATGTTCTCCCGGGAATCGACGATTCATGGTGTCTGTGGGGTTTTCCCCTCCTGAGGAAGGCCCGCGGGTTGCCAAGCCTCCCGCGAGGGTCCGCCCCCTTTCGCCTGCCCCCCCTCCCGCCCCAGGCTCGCCGCCGATTCTCGCTCCCCCAAATCCCCCGCTTCTGGCGGCACCCGGGAGCGGCCCCGAGCGAGCACACGGAGAGCGACCGGGTGCCGCGGGAGGAGGATCCTCCTCCTGCTCGGTCCTCGTCCTCGTGCTCGATCCTCGGTCCTCGTCCTCCTGCTCGATCCTCCTCCTCGCTCCTGAGGGGGAACGTCGATTAGGGTTAGGTCGGAGAGTGACCGGGGGCCGCGGGAGGGGTGCCCAGCGCGGTCCACGAGCAGCAACGAGCTGTTACGATCATCCCTGGGGCCCCTCCCGCCCTGCTGCAACTGCTGTGGGCTTGCGGCAGGTTCGTGTCGTGCCGACTTCGGCGTTGATTCCTGACACCGCCGGGATCATCCCTGGAGCCCCTCCCGCCCTACTGCAACTGCTGTGGGCTTACGGCAAGTTCGTGTCGTGCCGACTTCGGCGTTGATTCCTGACACCGCCGGGATCGTTCAACCTTGAACGGTCGGCCGCTCTCCAAACGTCAGACCGTTCGACATCGACCGAGTCTGGGTCGCCAGCGGCGTCCAACGTTGAACGCTGGCAGCGGTGTTGCCCTGGTCGACACGACGCGAATCTACCGTATCGGGGTTGCCTTGGCCTTCTCGCGTCTTTTTTGGCAGCTGCGGGCGCCCTGAGCTCCTGCAGAATTCTCTGGCCTTTCCCGAGCCTTTCTCGGGGACTCCCAGTCTCTTGGATCGTCATCGATCGCTCCTCCTCCTCCTCCTCCCCCTCCTCCTCCTCCTCCTCCGATTCCTCCTCTTGACGGAGGAAGAGGTGTCTCCTCCTCCTCCTCCTCCTCCTCCTCCTCATAATCATAATCATCATCATCATCACCACCATCATCATCAGCATCATCACCATCATCATCCTCATCATCCTCATCATCCTCATCCTCATCCTCATCCTCATCCTCATCCTCGTCCTCGTCCTCATCCTCATCCTCATCCTCATCCTCAGCATCATCATCACCACCACCATCATCATCGTCATCATCATCATCATCATCATCATCACCATCATCACCATCATCACCATCATCACCATCATCACCATCATCACCATCATCACCATCATCACCATCATCACCATCACCATCATCGTCATCATCAGCATCATCATCATTGTCATCATCATTTTCATCATCATTGTCATCATTGTCATCATCATCATCATCATCATCATCATCACCATCACCATCACCATCACCATCACCATTATCATCACCATCATTATCATCGTCATCATCATCAGCATCATCATCATCATCATCAGCAGCACCAGCATCAGCATCAGCATCATCATCATCATCATCATCATCATCATCATCATCATCATCATCATCATCATCATCATCATCATTTTCATCAGCATCATCACCATCATCATCAACGATCGTCGTCCTCCTCCTCCTCCTCCTCCTCCTCCGCTCGGTCCTCCTTTAGTGCTTTTCGTGTTCCGGGCCTGTTCTCTGAGTGCCCAAAGAGCTGTGTGCCCTGCTGCTTTCGGTCACTAAATCTTATGATTTGCTGTGGGCCCAGTTTGGGGGCTCTTGGGCTGGAGTTTTTGACTGTTTCACTCCCCCAGTGGCCTCTTCACGGAGGAGCCTTCGTGGACTGCCTGACCTGACCTGACCTCGGTCCTCGTCCTCCTGCTCGATCCTCCTCCTCGCTCCTGAGGGGGAACGTCGATTAGGATTAGGTCGGGCCTGTCCCCCATACAGGCGGATTTTGGACGAAAAATTACAAGTACCCCCAACAATACTCCATAATGATCAGACATGCTCAAGAAATGGTCCCCTGACTATTTCTTGACTACTCTTGAATATTCCATTCCTCCTGTAGTGGGACAGGCCCGACTTCAAACTAGGGGGGAGACCTGCCCAGGGGGAGGAGGAGACGAAGGAGAAGGAGATGGAGGCGAAGGTGGAGGAGGAGGAGGCGGAGGAGGAGGAGGAGGAGGAGGGGGAGGAGGAGGAGGAGGAGGAGGGGGAGGAGAAGAAGCAGGAGGAGGAGGAGGAGGAGGAGGAGGGAGAGGAGGAGGAGGAGGAGGAGGGGGAGGAGGAGGAGGAGGAGGTCGACGCTTCCGCCCTGTCGGCGGCCAGCGACCCAGAGATCCAGCGCACTGCAAGAATCAAGGCGGAAGTTTCGCGCTATTCTCGGCCTCTAAGGGCCCTCACTGGGCCTCTCGGGCCGGGCGAAAGGGGGGGATAGCAAAGGGGGGGTTTGAGAATCAGCTCACGTAGCTGATTTTCCCGGCGCCTCCCGGCGCCGGAGGCGCCCATGTCTCGAGGAACGGGCCCCTCGGTGGGGCCGAAACCAGCTACATGTAGCAGATTTCGTAACCCCCCCTTTCCCACCCCCCCCTTTCGCCCGACCCGAGCCTCGGGACCGTCAACAAAAATTATCCAGGATGAAAAACTGGTCCCGTGGAATGGGTCGAGGCCTCCGGGGTCGACGTTATGAACAAATCACAACGTGAGAGGTCTGGGGAGGGGGGGAAATGAGAAGGAGGCGGCCTTCTCAGAAGGCGGCGGGGCTTCTCAAAGCCCTCGCGCCTTCTGAGAAGGCTGTTCTGTCTTCGGGGAGGGCTTAGACAACTTCTCAGAAGGCCTGGGGACTTCCGAACCTTCTGAGAAGGCCTTCTCCTTCTCACTTCCCCCCCCCCGCTCGCGGCCGACCATGCGCCGATCTCCCCCTAACGAGGCCCCTGACCTGCTCGATCCCTGGGGGGGGCCTCTGCGGCCCTGGAGCGCACGGCCCCTTACGCAGGGGCAGCTTCTCACTCCAGATCGCCCTTTTGCTGGTCATGGGGCCTGGCCGCAGGCCTCCAGGGCTGAGCTCGAGGAATCACGCTGATACTGGACGGTTGCATCTCGTCGGACACCTGGCGGCCAGTCGGCCCCGATATTCCTCGGTCATCCTGCTCGATCCGCGAGCCTCGATGCGGACTGCATCGAGGATCGAGGGTCGAACAAGAACGAGCGCTGGGCCATGGGACCACCGACAAAAGGCGAAAGCAAACAATGGTTGAAACTGGGCCCTCCAAGTTTGGGCGCTTCTGTAGACGGGCCCCCACCCAGGGCCTCGCGAGCCTGGAAGAAGAAGCAGGAACATACGCGAAGAAACCTAGCGCTCTGAAACCCGGGAGCGCACTCTCCGGCGCCTGCGAGCCTCGTGCAGCATGCCCCAGGCCTCTGCGGGCCCATCGGGAAGCAAGAGATCATCGTGGGGCACCTGTCGAAGACCCGGCTTCTTGTGTGGTGAGCCTGCTCTACCCTTAGGTCGGGCATGTCTCCCTACAGGCGGATTCTGAAGGGAAACTTAAAAATACCAAAAACACTTCCAACTAATCCAAAAATAATCAAAACATCGTCCCCGTACTATGTTTCACCTGTTCTTGAAAACTCCTCGTATAGAAGGACAGGCCCGACATGAGCCTACTCCACCCCGGGAGCCTCCGCGGCCGCGCGGCCCGGCCACACGTCCGCGCCGATCGGCACCGCCGGCGGCGGCGCCACCAGCCTCTCGGCTGCTGGCGCCCCGGCGGACCACGCGCCGCCGACGGAGCCCGCACCAGCCTCTTGGCGGCGCCATCGTCGTCGTCGTCGTCGTCGCCGTCGTCGTCGTCGTCGTCGTCGTCGTCGTCGCCGTCGTCGTCGTCGTCGTCGTCGTCGTCGTCGTCGTCGTCGTCGTCGTCGTCGTCGTCGTCGTCGTCACGGTCGTCGTCGTCGTCGTCGTCGTCGTCGTCGTCGTCGTCGTCGTCGTCGTCGTCGTCGTCGTAGTCACGGACCTCCGCCCTGGCCACGCCAGGAAACAAACCACCGCTGGTGCGGGAGAGGGGTGAATGTGTGTGCCGTGCTGCGCGACCCCTGAGACGACCCTCGGAGGCCCCAGGATGGCCACGGTGTGCCCCCGTGCGCCTGGCACGCAGTGCAGCGCTCTCAGGTCCTCGACGATCCTGAACTGGATCTTTAGGGGCCTCCTAGATGGGGTCCGAGTAGATGGGGTCGGAGGATCGCGCAGCATCGGCGATACATCGGCGGTGCATCGGCGATGCATCGGCGATGCACGGATGATGCATCGTCGACGTGGGCGATGCATCGGCGACGTCGGCGTGGACAAAATCGGGCTCCACATCGAGCCGCATCGTCGATGCATCGGCGATGCGGCGCGATCCACCGACCCCATCTGCTCCGACCCTATCTAGGATGCCTAGAATTAGGTCGGGCGCGTCCCTCTACAGGGGGATTTTGGGCGAAAAATTAAAGATACTCAAAATATACATACTCCAAACTATTCTTGATTATTTGTTAGACTATTTTTGAATATTCCCCCTGCAGAGGGACGTGCCCGACTTAAGCCTATGTAGAGTATTGGAGCCTCGGGGACCTCTGTCGGGGGTGACCAGATACCCCTTCAGCAGACCACGCCCTGGTGAGAACGGCCCAGGGCCTGACCCGGCGGGCGCAGCCCCGCACACATGAGGGTGGGGAGGAGGGGGAGGAGGAGGAGGAGTAGGAGGAGGAGGAGGAGGAGGAGGAGGAGGAGGAATAGGAATAGGAGGAGGAGGAGGAGGAGGAGGAGGAGGAAGGAGGAGGAGGGAGGAGGAGGAGGGAGGGGGAGGAAGGAGAGGAGGAGGAGGAGGGGGGGGGAGAGAGGAGGAAGGAGGAGGAGAGAGGAGGAGGAGGAAGGATGAGGAGGAGGAGGAGGAGGAGGAGGAGGAGGAGGAGGAGGAGGAGGAGGGGGAGGGGGAAGAGGAGGAGGAGGAGGAGGAGGAGGAGGAGGAGGAGGCGGACCGACCTGGCAGGGTGGGGGGTCGAGGGCATTCTCGGGGGCTCTCTCGGGAGCTCCCCTGGGTCTCGCGGGGGTCGTCGCATACGCCGTGCCCCGCAGCTCGGGAAATTGGCCTCCACCGTGCTACAGAGCTCGTCGGCGTACCGGCGGATACACAATGGCAAGGAGCATCAGTCTGCAAACAGTAGGGCGCCGAGATCGGTGCACGATCCTCTTCACTTCCCTGCTGCAAGCTGTTTTGCTGTGTGTCGGTTGCTTCTCGGCTTGATCTCGAGATCTAGGCAAACTGCAGAGCTCTTCAGCACACCAGCGGGTTCGCAATAGCGATGCACATCACGATGGCCCCGTCTTGGGGCAATCTTGGGAATCTCTTGGGCTGTTATGGGGTCTCTGGGGGCTGGCTCAAGAGGCCGACATTGTAAAAACGCATGCGGTCCATGCGTGCCTTTCTGGTCTCGCCAGCGTCCAAGACGGCCCCAAGACGCCCCAAGATGGTCCCAAGGCAGTCCCACTATAGCCCAAATTGGCCCCCCCAGGGACCCGAAGATGGCCCCAAAGAGGGACTGCGAACGGAATCCAGCAACATGGTGTGAACTTTGTCCCCCTGTTATCAGGGTCACGCGCTTCCAGGCGCTCATGAGCGCTCCCAATCGCTCCCAGGCGGTCCCAAGCGCCCCAAGGCGACCCGAGGCTCTCCCAGGTCCTGATCGTCCTCACATTCGCCAGCCTTGGCGCTGTGATTTGCGGCTTGACGACTCTTGGCCTCTATCCTTTGCCCTCCATTTCCCATATTTGCCGTACTATTCTGATCACGTCCATCTCGAGGAGAAGACTGAATAACGACTACACGAGCGACGGGAGCGATGGTAGAGTGAGAGGGAAATAAGAAGGCGAATGCCGAACCATCAGAAGTGGTTACACTGTTGACGAGGGAGGTCATCACATCAAGCGAAGATCGCCTTGTCGTCAAGCTTGTCGCTCAATCTGTGCTTATCGCGATCAAAAATCTCACCCTCCTCGGAGACCACTCGGTTGTCATTGGGGTCCCGGAACAGCAACCTCGCAAGATTCGTCGACTTCTCATCCTGAAGTGCGCATTAGCTATATCGCTGTCGCGGAGAAGAGGCTGGCAATGCTAAAACGTAGCGACGAAACTCACGCACGTCTTGACCAACATCCCTCCAGCTTGACTGCTTGCTCTTGCATGTGCTAAAGCGAATGCGCCGAGCGACTGCATGGCGGCCATAACGCAGCTCTGCGCTCCAGCATACGCTGCACATCGAAACGCGTAGCCCATCCCATCTCTCGAGAGCAATGCGTGCGCAATGGGTGCAACGTGCGTGCTGTATTTCTTCGCAATGGCTGTCCACCTTAAATGACTTCTGTTGTCCTGGATGACATGTCCTCGTCTGGGCATGTCCCCCAGGGCACTGAAGAGGACAACGGAGCAGGACCCTCTAATTTACTGGAGGTAAAAGGTGGAGGGGAGGGTCGGTGGGATAAGGAGGGTGAAGCGAGGGAGAAGTGGAGAGGAACGATGGATCCCAAGACGGGATATTGATCCCTACATGAGCTGGGCTTCCAGGGGCATGAACACAGTGCCCCATCATCTCGCGAACGTGGCGATGGACATGCGCCAGAAGCACCAGTAGGAGAGCCAAGCTGCACTGCGGAACACACATCCCCGACGGTGTAATCAAGACCTGCGTGGATGGGGGACTTCGAGCTTTGTTTGCCATCTGATAGACGCCGACTGGCAGCGATAGCCTATGTCATCTTCGGGGTTCGGGGCGTTGGAGGGCACGGGGATCTGCTGCGAAGAGCTCTCGCTGACCAGGGAGGTGATTGCGAACGTCCGGTCAACATGTGACGCAGCAACATTCGCGTTGGACGCAGCATTAGATCAATTCTGCAAGTCTCTCGCCGCGAACTGGTGAATCGATTTTTCCCAACCATCCTGTGGTGTTGGGTCCTCGTTTTGAAGAGACAGTGCCCGCTCCCGCTCCCGCTCCTCTTCCCCCTCCTCCCTCCTCCTTCTCATCATCATCATCGTCATCATCATCATCATCATCATCACCATCATCATCATCATCACCATCTATCCTGCCGTCCTCTGCGGGGACGGCGGCAGCCTTCAAAGAGAATAAAGGCAAGGGACTTCATTTTGCGCTGGGGCGCCGCCGCGGCCGAGCAAACTCGGCAGGATCCTGACGGGGTCGCTTGGACCCGGAAGCAATGGCACCAGCAGAGGCTCGCACTGCCGGCCTCGCTGGCACCCAAGTTTGAAAGAGCATCGAGCACAGGGAAAAAAGAGGGAGGAGGAGGGGAAAGGGAGGAGCCCAGAAAAGCTGCAGAGGACTCCGATGCGGACAGTGATAATGTGTCACACTTTCAATCACCATCTATCCTGCCGTCCTCTGCGGGGACGGCGGCAGCCTTCAAAGAGAATAAAGGCAAGGGACTTCATTTTGCGCTGGGGCGCCGCCGCGGCCGAGCAAACTCGGCAGGATCCTGACGGGGTCGCTTGGACCCGGAAGCAATGGCACCAGCAGAGGCTCGCACTGCCGGCCTCGCTGGCACCCAGAATCCCGCAGCCCCTGCAAGGGCACTCCTGGGCGGTGGTCGGGGAGGAGCTGGGAACGCGTTCAGAAGCCTGTGCTCGAGATTATTTGCCGCGCTGGCGGCGCTGCGAAGCTGGGCAGGCGACAGCGCACTTCCCCTACGCAACATTCCCGCTGGCTTAGCATATCGTCGGACCGATGAGGGGGCCAGCCAGCGGCCGCGGGTCTGGAGGGCAGTCGCACTCGCTCTGAAGCGCCACGCGTCGTGGCTGGGCCCTGCATGGCGAAAAGAGTGAGGCGAGAAAGGCAGCTGGGCATCGAAAAATTCGATGCGGTACTCACGGCATGCCGCCGCCCAGCGGGCGGTGCTCAGACCAGGAAACAGCGGAGCGGCTTGGTCTCCTGGGTGCGCTGCCGACGCTCTGGCGGCCAAGTTGAGGACCAGCTGCGCCACCCAGCCACGGTCGTGGGCCCCCACGATGGTGGAGGCGTCGTACTCGAAGTTCTTGGCGGGAGGTGCTGTCGGGTCGCCCTCGTTGATCGGCGCGATGGTGATGACGACGTCCTGAGCGCCCGCCATCGGCGGGGTCACGTGCCGCGCCGTCAGGGCCACGACCTCGGCGGGGCGCAGGTAGCAGTCGAAGGCGATGACGGACGCGGCCGCCGCTAGGGGGAGGGTGCCCCCGCGGCGGAGCCACGCGTCGCAGGCCAAGTGGAGGTACTCGATCGGCAGCGAGTCGCGCGGCTGCTCGGGCGAGGCGCGCGCGAAGCCGTGCAGAGCGGCCTTCGCGAGCGGCAGGGTGGCTCGGTCCCGAGGCGGGAGCCCCAAGCAGTACGCCGTGCCATGCACAGCGTACCTCGCCTTGGCAGGGGGCAGACCGTCGAAGAACATGGCGTCCAGAAACTCGTCCAGCACCGCGTCCCACGAGGCCGCGCCAGTCGGCTCGCGCCCGTGCTGCCTCGCCCGGCGCCCGACCTCCGCGAACGACTCCTGATAGTGCCGAGCTGTGGTTGGGCGGACAGCGGCGCGACGGCAGGCCCCGGGGGCCTCGCCGTAGGCCTCGCGGCGGGCGTCGGCCCGGCGCCTGGCTGCGCGCCGCGCCGGCGCAGGCGGCGCGATGGGCGCGGAAGTCTGCCAATTCATCCCAGGGTTTCCCGTCCCAGTGCTTGACTGCCCCCTCCCAGCCGAGCCGGGCGGCACGCTCAAGGCGCGGGGCCGCCACGCGTCGGCTGGGGGCTGCGGCTGGCTGCGCGCTGACTGCCAGACGCCAGTCCCAGAAGTCGCCCAGGAGGGGCTCCCGCGGGCAGCGGAGGCTGCTGGGCGGCGCAGCTGAGCGGCACACCCGGGCCAGTGCCACAGCAAGGCGAGGAGGGTACGCCGCGGCGAAAGAGGTGCGCCACCGCGGGCGGGCCCCCGCCAGCTGCACCTTCCCGGCGAGGACGACATGGGGGGCCCCTGGTGCCGGACATCGGCGACTGAGGGTGGGCCCCCCAGGCAGCGTGGTGTAGATCGTCGTCGGCTTCTTCCACGGGGCCCCGTAGGCGCACATGTCGAAGTCGCAGCGCACGGCGCCAAGCCTCGCCAGCGCCCGAGAGATCCCAGGATCGCCGAAGAGGCTGCTGCGAGCAGGGTTCTCCAGGATGATGTGGACGCCGCAGCGCGCTGCGACCCGCAGGACCTTGGCGGTGAAGGTCTTGCAAGCGGTGGTGGGATGGTCTCCGACCCCTGTGGTGCGGGCCGGCACCCATCCCGTGCAAGGAGTGCCGAGCAAGATGCACCACACCAACCCGCCAGTGATCCAGGCCAGGATCTCGCGCTGCACTCGTGGGTCCAGAAGGTCATGATGAGGCCCATGAACTCGATCGACAGGTGCCGCGGTGCGCAGGCCCTCCTGCGCGGCGGCGGCGGTGGCCGCACCGCAGCCGGAGTAGAGCTCCAGGAACACCGGCCGCGAGGCGGGCCAGGAGGAGCGCCCGCGGGCGCCGGAGTCAGCGGGCGGCCGCGGCGGCCGCGGCGGCCGCGGCGGGGGAGCCGGGCAGGGGGTTGTGACTTTGGAGGGCTGAATCCTCCCCCCCCTGCCCGGCGAGTGGGCCCCCCTGGCGGCCAGCGCCGCGGGCCGTCGGCCTCCGGCGACCGCGGCCTCCCCGCGAGGGCGCCCAGGGGGCGCAGCTGGCTCGGCCGCCTCTGCCTGCCACTCTGGCCCCACGGCGGCGGCCAAGGGCAGCTGGCGGAGGAGCGCCCCCGGCGCGCGGCGCCCGAAAGGCACCGGGCCCCGCCCGGCCAGGCGGGAGTCGAAGTCCGACGGGTTGCGCTCGGTCTCCACGTAGCGCCGGTGCCAGGTGATGCCCGCGCCGATCTGGAGGGCGCACGCGCGGCGTGTGAGAGCAAGCACCTTGCCCCTCGCTCGACCCCGATCAAACGCCAGGATCTCCGACAGGTTGTCGCCGAAGGAGACGAGGTGGCACCCGTGCGACCGGGCGTCGCGCGCCTCGCGGTCGAGGCCGAGGAGGGCCGCCCGGGCCTCCTTGCAGTGGATCGCCGCCGGGCGCCGCCAGGAGCCCACGGCCCCGCGGCGCCAGCGGCTGGGCCGCGCCCACTCCGCTGCGATCGGAGGCACCAGGCCCACCCGCTCTCGGAAGTCGCGGGGCGGGCGGCGGGGGCGGGGATCACCAGCCTGCAGCGGGGCCTCGCTGGGCAGCGGCTGCAGCGAGCCGGCGACCCAGCGGGAGAAGGCCCCCTCGGGCAAGAGGGGGGCGACTTCGGCCCCGCGGATGGCCGCGGTCGTCGCTGCGGGCCCGCCGTCGTCGTCCACGAAGCGCCACCGCTCGCGCCAGACGGCCTCCCGCCAGAGGCTGGCGGGGTCCGCGGCGGTGAAGTGGAAGGCGTACCCTTCGGTGGAGGCGTCGCTGCAGTAGGCTCGGCCGAGCATCTCGCCCGCGATGTCGACGTGCGCGAAGAGGGCACAGGCCGCGGGCGACAGCCAGCTCGGCGAGAGCCCCCTCCGGCAGCGGTCGCACCGCGGAGCCCCCCTTGCCGACGAACCGGTAGCATTCGCCGAGCACCGAGAGGAGGCACCTGCGCAGACAGAACTGATGGCGTAAGTGCCCCAAGAGGCGGTGCATGTGGTCCGGGGAGATGGCCTTGACCTGGAGCAACGTGCCGAGCCCATACCAAAGCCTCCACGATCGTCGGGAGGTGGGGCGGATCCAAGAGCGGCGCCCGTCGAAGTGCAGGCCAAGCGCCTCGAAGTCCAGGCAGGGGTCGACGCGCTCGTGCACCGCGAGGCCCGCCTCCTCCAGCTCGTGGACCACGGCGGAGAGGAGGCGGGCGACGGAGGCCTTGTCACCCCCGATGACGTTGGCGTTGTCGACGTAGGGGGCGCAGATCGCTGTCCCAGCGGCCAGCGGCGGGGGCGGCTCCCTATCCCCCAAGAGGTGCTCGGGAAGCCCCAGCGACCGCTGCGCCCGACGGCAAGCCTCGGACACGGCGCTGTGGCAGAAGAACAGCGCCCAGCTCCAGCCCA